TTGGATTATCGAGCTTGAGTTCAATCCAAATGATACTAAGTTCAATTTCTCGTTAAGCGGCTCGAGCACGAAAGTCGAAGGAGTAAGGCAGAAGGCAGATCATGACGTTGGCTCGAGCATGGTAGTAGAAACAGCATGGGTGGGCTTGGAAGGCGGAATAGCATAATGCTGAAGCGAAGCGCATATGCCAAATCTGAAGCGGGTTCAAATGTGAAAGCGGTAGCATCAGTCGTTCTTCTTACACCTCGTGAACCCGCATCCACTGGACCACTGCCGTGAGCTGAGCTCGAACCCGTCTTTTGATCGAGTTAGGCATGCATGATTGGAGTTCTACTCAACTCGTTTGCACACTTAAGCCCACATATAGCTACTGATTGTTCTAATCCAATCTGAACCAGTGAGATTGACCACTTTTAGCCAGCTTGTTGGACTTGTGCTCAACATGAACGGTTTGGAGGATACAGATATGTTCCAAGCTTTTTGTATTAATGAGATTAATTAATGTCTTTTTAGTCTAATCATTATAAGATGCATTGATTCATGTTATGAATAGATAAAGCTATTCATAAGTTTTTCTCACATAAAACTTTTGATATCTTTCTGACTCTTGCGCCTCTCTCTCTCTCTTATATGTGTGTGTGATGGATCTTCGTACAACGCTTAGAAGCAAAACTCTATATCTCTCTATCGTTGTGAATTTTCTAATACGCAACAAGATTAATACCGATTCATTTAGTCTTCTACTTCATCATAAATCAATTTAATAAGTTCTTTTGTAATGTTTTTGAGTAAATTAAGTGCTAAAATACAAATTTATACAGATGAGATTTGATCAGTTGAATTTGATAATAATTTCTGTAGCTATTGATCGCCAACTAAACTGCTGGCATCCATATAATCATATAAAGTTGGCAGACAGAGATATCTTTGTCCATTTGTTACATTAATCTATTATTCATATATCTCAAATGATCTATAAGCTGCTTTTTATATCAACATTGATTTGCAAAGGGAAGGTCTAAGATTCATATTCTTCAAGGAGATGATAGTTTAAACAATTATATGCATATAATAATGAGTTGTTTTCACATTAGTTTATTAGAACTTGGAAGCTGTCACAGTATATATGATATATATGAAAAACATATATATGATAAATATTAATGCTTATCGTTTCAGTTATTTAGACTTCGTTTGGGTCGGCTTTCTTATTGATTTGTAAAGCAATTTTTAATATTTTTTTATCTAAAAATTGCTTTAAGAAACAATAAAAAAGACGTCTCAAACAAAAACTTAGTCATTTTTGATATTTTATTCATTCTCTAAGTTGATATAGAAGGCTAAGAGATTAGATAAAAGGAGACAAAGAGTGGACAGTTGACTTAATATGTGTTATTATTATCATATTTGTCTTATTATGTACTCAGGCTGATAGAGCCTTTGTATGGCCGAAACAAAAGTGCTTGTCTACTCTTAATGAAAAGTTGTTTTATAAGTGCTTCTTGAACAGAAATCAAATAATAGTGTATGAGTGTTACAGCCAACTAATCTTCCATTTTATTTGAGTTAGAGACTTAATTAAAGCTTCGTTTGGGATGGCTTTCATATTGCTTTTTAAATTAGTTTTTTATTACAAAATTTTCTACTAAAAGACTACTTTAAAATGCAGTAAGAAAGTCATCACAAACGAAGTCTAATAATAAATAAATATTAGATTGCTTATCTACATAAAATCTATTATCTAAAAGCACTTTGATAGCTTAATGAAGTAATTCTTTCATTTGATACACATGAAGATGTAATAAATTGTGTTAATTTGATTCACAAATAATAAAGTATGGATAAGAAGATCATATTTTGATTTTTTTTAGCTTATACTGTTCAATAGAACATTTTTTTTGTGTCAAATTAAGAAATATTTCATGACTAATATTCATATAATAATTCGGGTTTGACATATAATAATTCAGCTTTTTTATGACGTCTAAAAAAAGATCTTCGAGCATGACTATATTCATGAGGCTTAGGGCTTCCATTTATCATTTCACATCTTATGATAATGTCAAATTATAAGTTATAATCACTAATATAAAAATTATATATTTTTATAAATTTTTATCATTTTCTAAATTAACATTATAATTATAATTAAATTTTATATATTCAAATTAATTTATGTAATTATATTATTTATTAGTTAAAATTTATATAGATAAAGCTATTCTTAATTTATGTAATTATATTTGAATTAATATATATATAGTCATTCTTGCATACAATTATATTGTTTGATATAATCTTAAGTTAACATTGAACTAAGGTTTCATTTGGGATTGTCTTCTTAATGCTTCTTAAAGCAGCTTTTTAGTATAAAAATTAAAATATTTGTACAAGAAAGTTGCTTTAAGAAACAATAAAAAAAACTTCCCAAACAAAGACTAAGGCTTCGTTTGGGACGGCTTTCTTATTACTTCTCAAAGCAACTTTTTAGTATAAAAATTTTCCTTTTTGTACTAAAAAGTTGCTTTAGGAAACAGCAAAAAAGTTGTCCCAAACGAAGCCTAAGTGACCTCAATAAAATATTAATCTTTTTTTTTTTTCAACAAATCTTTTTTATTTCAACTAAATTTATTATCATGATCCTAAGTATCCATATGACAGAGTAAGATATCTTTTTGATCCGATATGAATCACGAAAATAACATATACAGCTCTTCCATTCATCATATATTTTTATCATATTACTATAAACGACTTGTATCTAAACATAGCCTCCATGTGCTCAAGATAAAAGCTCTTCTTACTACCTACCCTCCCTCATTGCTAGGAAAAAAAATTTAATGAACTCATTTCAAGCCTTATTCCCTTTCATGCTCAATTAAGAATTTAGGTATGGAGGATCTCTCATGCAACAAAAATCTCATATTAGTCTCTTAGGTTTTGTTTGGGACTGCTTTCTTACAGCTTCTTAAAGCAGTTTTTTAGTACTAATAAGCTGCTTTAATTAGAAGTAGTAAAAAAGCTGTCACAAATAAAACCTTTTTTTTATTTCACCTATTTTGTGTTTAATATAGGGTTTAATTTAGATTGATTTTTCTACCTAATTTTACATAGTTTCATTCATTTAAGAATGTGTTAATAGCTTAATAATGCAATTAGTGAGTCATATTCTATAAATTTTAAAAATAATGTTCTTTATAATACACATCAAATATAAAAAATAAAGAAATAAAAATATTTTCAAAAAAATATAAAAAGGTTAAAATTAATTTATAAATAATAATATTTTTTTACTCAACAAATCTATAGATGAATCATTTTCTTCCCTTAGAGATTTTTTGAGAATTTAAAACATTCCTCTCATATCTTGAATCATGTCATAGAAGCTTCAACTCCATCATAATATTTTTAATTAAAAATAAATAAATTATATATTGTAAAATTTAAAAAAAAAATTAAAAAATGTCGCTCTCTTTAATAATGATTTTTTTTAGGGTAAGTTTGGATTAATAATAATTAATTAACAATTATCCCTTCTGCACCTTCTTGCAAGCGAATCTAACTCAACTTAAATAATTGTTAATTAGTTACATCGGTAAACAGTAATTACACTAATGATCATTTAGAAGGACAAATTCCACGTGTCTTTTGACGATTGGTGGTGTCAATTTGATGTCGTTACCAAGGTGGAAAAACCAAGATAATATAAGGATGACGTCATCTGACCGCACAGTAACAAATCCTATGCGTTATTCTGTGCGACTTGACATGTCGGTCCGTAGTCATCCTTACGAGGAAAGAAATTAAGATAAGTCGCATAATCCATTTGATGCCAATTGGAAAATTCTTTGCTCTTCACCCAAGAATTAGAATAAAATTATCTTTAAAAAAAAATTTATCACCGCATATAAATTATTAAATTTATTTTAAATTAAAATAATATTCAATTATTTTAAATTTATCATAATTAAATTTATATTAAAATATTTTAATATTATTATTTAAAAAAAAATAATGAATTGATGAAAATACTAATAAAGATCATGAGTAGATTTAATAGCTACTAAACCCCGTATCAATACGTCATTATAGGTTTTGTTTGAGATGATTTTTTTACAGCTTTTTAAAGCATCTTTCTAATATAAATATTTAATTTTTTGCAGAAAAAGCTGCTTTAAGAAGCATTAAGAAAGTCGTCCTAAACAAAACTATAATCAATTACTAAGAACCTCGGATCAAAATTGATGAGCTCTGCTTTGATCGAGTTGTGATCAATTGTAGCAAAATTTTAACGAGATTTGGCTCACCTTCAAATTGAATCAAATGACACTAAGGTTTTATTTTGAACAAATTTTCTTATTGATATCGGTACCCAAATTTTTTTATTAAAAAAAAAAGTTATATTAAAAACAGAAAGAAAACTGTCCCAAATAACATAAGTCGGACTAACGCAAGGCTGAGTCAATTCGAATCAACTCGTTAATGATAGTAGCGATGTGATTCTAGATGAACGATTTGTTCATTACTTTTGTCAAACCCACTAAGATACTTTTCCTTAGCCACAAAATGGGACAAATTATGTTGGAGTTGATAAATGAATATGAATTACATATTAAAACATAAATCTTGAATTTTTATAAATATAAAATAATATTAAAATAGAATTCAAATAATTTTTGAAAAATCACAAATAATCAGAAATGCATTAAAATAATTTTCCACAAAGTTTGAAATTTTTTTAATTTATAATTAATATTTTAAATTATTAAAATATATAAAATATTTTAAGAGTAATTTTAGTTTTAAATAAAAGTGGCCTCAAAATAATTGAATGAAAGGATAAATAATTTACTGTTGAATTTTTGGATTAAATATGAAATTTCTTTGTTTTTTTTTTATTTAAATTTTTGTTAATTAGCTGTTTGATCTCATCAAGTATTTATATGATATATAATTTTTTATATATTTTAAATATTTATAAAAAATAAAACAAAAAAAAATAGATAGATATCAGTCGTCTATTATGTACTCATCGGCTCTCTATGCAAAGAGAACCTTAATAATGACAATAATAACAATAATAATAATAATCAGCATGCTAATCGCTAATTAATACCACACTAATACTTCCCAGCAATACACTTAACAGCTTAACAAAGTCATTAACACCGGTGGTGGTGATCACCAATGAAGATAAGATGAACGGATGGATGGAGTCGATTCAAATCCATTAGAGAGATTCAAGCCAAGTTCTCAAGATGACGTCGCAATGCAATGGGGCTGCTCGAAGATGAACAGCGGCCGCCGGAGTTCGCTACACCTCCGCATGTCGTGCAATAATTCTTCCCTGCTCAGTCTCCTCGAAGTAAACAGAAGCTTCGCGTCCGTTGCCGCCGCCGCCGCCAGCGATTGCGGGCCCCACGGGGTGTCCTGATGGTGATGGAGATAGTTATAGTGGAATCCCTCTGACGTGGAAGTCGGCTTGCTTATAGACGATGCCGCCACCGCCGCCGCGGCCGCCGTTGTAGTTGCTGCGCTGACTTTAACGTCGGCGGCGGTGAGAGGGGAGCCGACGACGAATTTGTTGATAACGAGGGAGGAGCGGTGGACTTTGACTGCTGCCAAGCCACTGACTTTGACTTCCACGATCGTTCCCCTGTCCACGACTTCCACTTCTTCCTCCACTACTTCTTCTTCTTCTGCATCCTCTGCTTCTTCTTGTTGTTCTTCCACTTCGTTCTGTGGGAGAGCAATGGAGGGAGTTTGGTTTGAGTGAGAGGAGGAGTTGATGAAGGATAAAAGGAGGCGGCCGCCTTGGCGTTCGGCATGGAGGTAGGTTTGGGAGGGGACGGGGACGGCTTCGACGACAAGGCGGCCGTCGCGGCGGTGAGGGCGCATCTTGAGGCAGAGGCCATCGCGGCAGGAGATGGAGGGGAGAGGTGGGGGGAATGACCTCGCCGGAGTTCGCCTGCCGATGGAGCAGTGGTAATTCACACTAGCGAGTTCCTTCTTCCCCTGTTTCACTTCCTCTGTTTCCTCCCCTCTTTCTTCGTCAATTTCTTCCTCTGTATCTTCCTCTGTTTTGGAGGAGGTGAAGGAGAAGAAGTCAAATTCGTCGCCGGAGGAGAATCCATCGGACCCAGTCTCTGATCCGAGGCTTTCAGTGCAAATCTCTAAGCTTTTTTGGCTCATGAGGCTAGAAGAGCGGCGGGCGAGTGGGTGGATGTAAGGTGGGGGTGGAGCTTTGGTGCTCTGTTTTTCATTTTGGATTAAGTTCCAGATATCGATTATTTCCTTTTCTTCTTCCAGCGCATGTATGGCCACTTCCGGCAACCAAATGTTGGGTTCCGGCATCAACGGAGGCCGGAATTGGCAGCCGGAGGTGAAATTGTTGCGCAGGGCTGGTTGAGGAAGAGCTATGGTGATATCCGCCATTAAAGGAAGCGCCTTTGGTGATTTTCTGACTGTTGAGTAAAGGGAAGGAGGAAGAGGCGAGAGAGGCAGGGAATTTCGTTTTGCTTGTGAAGTTTTCGAAGGGCTTATGAGAAGAAGAAGACGGAGTGGCGAGGTATTTGTAGGAGGGTAGAGGCTCGAACCTTTTGCCGCCCAGGGCCCTCCATTTGCTTTCCAGCTTCAGGTTTCCCATTTACCTCCGCGCACTTCTCCGATTTTTAAGTGCAAAATTACAGACACTAATTAAATCTTAATTAAATTTTAACAAATTAAATAGAGATTTTTAATTAAATATAATATGAAAATAAGCTTTAAATTTTCTTATAAGATCACCCATTTTAAAGCTGATCCGATATTTTAAAATTCATTATGATCATTATTTTATCAAATTTATTTTGATATGAATATATTCTATTTGTTTTCAAAATTATAATTAATATTCATCTATTACAAAATAAATTTCATTTTTTAATAAAAAATGTTTGAAATAGTTTTTTCAAAATCACTTCTTAACAAACGAAAAGGATTAATCTAAAGTTTTTGACCTCAACCAGTTTTGACGATCTGTATTTGAAACCGTCCAAATCGACAACCCTTTTAAGTCGTCAAAACCAACAAAACTCATCGAAATATCTCATAAACTATTTAAAATTTTATTTTTAAAAAAAATATTTTGAAACTTTCTTAACAATAATAAAAATGCTAAATCAAACAATGAATCTAAACACCCAATCAACCAATATTTTATTGAAAATTTCGGCTCATAAATATTTTTAATATATCCTTTTAAACACCCTAAAAATAATTAGTTAAATTTTGATCCATTAATAACTTTAATCATCCTTAAATCCTCGGTGTTTTGCCTCCAACATATTAGACAACCATTAATCTTTATAAGGGGCGAAATCACGATATTGATAGGGGGGCAATTCTCTAAAAAATATAAAATCCTTATTAGACTAAGGGATATTTAGTAATTTTGCCTCTCTAAAATTGATCCTTTCTCAGGTATCCGCTCAAATTTGTTGTCTCAGAGAATCCAATAGCGATCCGGTGTTAGGGTTTTGGTCACTACCTTCAGGGCTTGCTATTTTTGGATTGAGGTGAGCAATCTTGCTAGTTCTCCTCTTCTCGTTTACGTTTACAGACTTATTACTTCATCATTAACATTACAAGTTGGTAGCTACTACCGCTACAGTGGAGAGAATATTTTTCTACAATGAAATTTATCAAACATCAATTGTGAATGGGTGATGATTGGCTCAACGACGAATGTCTTGTTTCTTCCATTTAAAAAGATGTATTTGATTTTATTATGAATAAAAATGTAATCTATTATTATCAACAAATACAAAATAGATTAATAAGATTATAATGATTTTCAATTTACCTATCATAATGAAATATAAAATTTTGCTCTAAATTATGTCCCCATTTTATTATTTTTTTAAATATTAGTCTATTAATATGAAAAATTTGCACCCCCTCTCTCTCTATCGAATTATATTGCCAGCTTGTTTTAATGTAAACTCTTTTTCTCTTCTCTGCTGGATTATTCATTAATTTTATCATTAACTTTAATTATCTGATTAAGATTAATTGTAGTGACAAAGCTTGAATGCGTGTTGAAACGACCAAACTAATTACAGTCTCCTAAATTCTGAAGCCAATTGTATTTCTCCGAGTACTGAGCGGGCAAAGATAAATTATCCTCATCACATATTTTTAAAATAAAAATATATTTTATTTTATTTTTTATTTTCTTCAAATTATGCGATGTTCCTTATTTAGATTTCCGATATTTATCTATTTTTTAAAAATAATATAAATCATTTATTGAAGTAAAGAATACTATATCGTGCTTTTACTTGCTCCATATATATATTCATGATAATATTGGATTAACGTGTGCCTGTAGAAAACAATATCTAATATTGCCGATTGAAGATTTTTTTTTAATATATTCGTATGCTATTGAATTAGTAGATAATTATTTTTAATTATTTCTAATTTTTACTTTGTCCTATTTCTTTTTTTTTTGGAAAATTATAAAGTGGTAATTTTCTCATGTTTAACAGTCAATCATAGTCAGAAAAAAAATATTTAACAGTCAATCATAGTCAGAAAAAATATCTTGTTAAAATTAAAATATTATGGGATTATGATTATTTAATTATTTTGATAGAAAAGAAAATTTAATTAATATTTTTCAAGTTTAAAAATGTTTCTTAATTATTTCTTGTAATTAACGTAATTAATTTGGAAATTAATATTAAATAATTTAAAAATATGGGTTTATTTTTTTAATTACTTGATTAATGATAGAGAATTTATTGAGCTTTGTGATTATGACAAGAAATTTGCTTTAGGTAAATGGTAGTGCTGTTACACTGTTTTCCATTGAAAAATGAGCTTTTTTTAACAATCATGCATGTTTTTTATAAAGCTTGATATGAATGATTTTGAGTTTTGATTGGAATTACTTTGAAACTATTATGGCTTATCAGCTACAAAATTAGGCAATAAAATTTTAAAAAATGTTTATAATTGAAAAAACTTTATTTATGATATTATAATCATTACAAGCTCCATAAATGTTTAATTTACTTTGAGAAAAATTAATAAAAAATTATAGTTTATATTATAGTACTCATTTATTTGATATCTATTTTCATAACAAAAAAATCAAATATATATAGAGCTAATTCTCTTCTTTAATTGTGCTTTATTTTTCAAATTAATTTATAATTAAAATAAATTATATATTTCACACATCTTTCATAAAAAAAGCATGAATTACTTTTTATTTTGGTATAAATAAAAGCATCTATATCATCAATTGAAAAAAATAAAAATAATGAAAAATTATTTTGTGTTAATTTATTTGGAGAGTATATCATTACTTTTATATTCACAATTTTAAAATTCATAAAAAGTATTAAAATTTAAAATTGAAAAAATAGTTAAAATAATATAAATAATAGGAAAATTTATATGTAAGTCATCAAATTCTTAAACATTTACAAATCTAATACCATCATCGTAAAATTAAATAAATGTATATAAATAAAGATAAAATTTTAGCTCTTAGATATATAAATATATGTATGTAAATATCTTAAAAACCAATAAAACTGAAATTTCTACGGCGACAACGACACCCCAAAAAAAAAAAATTAGAGCTGCGCCCAACGGACAAATTTGCAATTCCGTTATTGTACGGATGGGCACGAGTGCAATAATCGGGTTTTGCAACATTAATTAGAAGATTGAGGTTGAACTGATCCGCTACGAATGGCTCCGATGTGTCCGGCACCGGTTTATTAACAGGCCAGCCGGCGTTAGAAGAAACTGATAATTACAAATATACCCTTTCCGTCTGCTGATGTGAATTTCAGGTACGAAATCCAAATGGAGGGTTTGAAGTGCTGGAGATGGTGCCACGTGTCAAAAGCGCATTTAATTCATATCATTTGAATACAGCTAGCACTAATAATTTAATGGTTGCTATGCTTTATCTCTTTTTGATAGAAATCCTCCACAGCGTTTATTTTTTGGTTCTTCTGTGTCGTGTTAGTGACATAATCACATAAATGATAGATACAAAAAAATATATTGAGAAGATAATATAATCATTAAATTTATTGAAAAGTAAATTCTTATAAGTTTTCTGAGAAGAAAAAAATTATAATTTGTTGGGTGATAAATTTATTAGGAGGCATCTAATTAGTGAATTAGGATTAAGTTTATGTTTTAAGAAAAAAAAAAAAACTTAAGTGATAATGCAACTTAGGAAATTCATTAGGAGTTTTATAACGTAGAAATTAATGTCAGAAAGTTTTTGAAAATGGTACAAAAGCAACGGTATTTAGAACGTGTTTAAGAAAAATAGTTTTATCAAAAAAATAAATTTTTTATGCTTTACCATTGCTAGACGAAAAAAATAGTAAAAACGGGCAAACAAATGGAACGGCGCTAAAATTCCGTAGAAAAACTCGGTATTTGTTCGATATTGCTAGGTATTATTTGGTAATAACGAGGAATATCGCTCTGTGAAGACCAATACCAAGTTATACCGAGCTATACCGAGCAATACCAAGTTATACAAAAAAATACTGAGTTTTTTTCTAGGAAAAACTCGGTATTGCTCGGTATAGCTCGGTATAACTCGGTATTGGGTCTTCACATGATGGTATTCCTCGTTATTGTTTGGTATTGCTCGGTATTTCTCGTTTTTGGCGCAATTTTAGCTCTGACCGGACGTAGCTCTACGTCCGGTCGGAGGACCTAATAATTGTTCCAAACAAATGAGCCATACGTTAGAAAACATAGAGCTTGCTAATGGAACTCAATTATTGTTATCTGTTCTATCTACGTATTCTTTTTTCTTTCGCTTCTCTTTTATCAACTATGCGCAACAAGCAATAAGTGCTTATTAATTTTTGTACGAGACTTGTAGGCTTGGTTTGGTTCACTTGGAAATAGTTAAAACGAGCAAACTTTATGCTAAGACCACATATTTTGTAAACCATCATATTATTAATCTTATATCGCATATTTACTTACAATTTACCTATGAGTTCAAGAGTAAATGTGAAGTGGTACTTCATGAACTCAATTGTCTCTGTTGATATAGAAATTGGCCTTCTACTATTCTAGTATGAGGAGGTATTAAGTAATAGTCGGTACTATTCTCTTCGATCTTCCTCTTCTGAAGAGGAACAAAAAGCTTTTTTGTTGGCAATTCATAATCTCACAAGAACTTTTCTATGTTTATGGATTGATTGTTTTTTGAATTAGTTTCTCAATTGAAATCTTGAAAGGGTGTATTGATTTTAGGCATGTACTTTCTTAAGCATTATCCTTCACTTTGTTTGTCATAGAATAATTAATATTTAGGAGGTCTTCAAGAGTTTCTTGGATGTAGTAAAAGAAGATAAGAATTCATATAAAAACTCCTAAAATAATTGATTAAGGAATATGGAAATGAATTAAAAATCATCAATGGGTAGAGTTTTTAAGACTTCATTTGGTACGGCTTTTTTGGTACTTATTACATTAATTTTCTAATTAGTTAGTATAAAAATTAAATTTTTTGTATTAGAAAACTAATTTATAAAAG